TAATTTGGTTGTACCCCGAATATGCATCTAAAAAACTCAAAAGTTCATGTCCTGCAGTTGCATGAATTAACTGATCTATATGCGGTAAAGGGAAAGAATCTTTTGGGCAGGCTTTGTTAAAATCTGTATAATCCACGCAAACCCGCCACTTACCGTTTTTCTTAGGTACAACCACTGTGTTTGCTAACCAATTAGGGTACTTTACCTCGCGTATTGACCCAATTTTTAATAGCTTTTGGACCTCATCTTGAATCACCTGATTTTTGAAAGCTCCTTGCTTTCTTTTCTTTTGCTTTACTGGTGTGAAGGATGGGTCTTCATTTAGTTTGTGAGTCATCACATCCGGTGGTATCCCTGTCATATCAGCATGGGACCAAGCAAAACAGTCCACGTTAGCTTTTAAAAATTCAATCAACATACCTCGCATGTCTGAGCTTAAATTGGCTCCAACATAAACCTTCCGTTCAGGCCATTGCTCAAATAATATCACAGCCTCGAGCTCTTCAATTGTTGTTTTGATATTTTCATTCTCTTCAGGTTCCTGAATTGTATCAGGTCTCGAGTCTAAATCTGTCTTTTCTTGTTCGGTTGAGGTTTGATCCTTGATACCTTCAACTGTTTCCTGTAATTGCTATTTTTCTTTATTTACGGTGCTCGTATCTGTTACAGTATTGATACTCCTGGCTGTCTGCTGATCCCTACGAATTTAGCAAATTCCCCACGGTGATGGGAATTTAATAACTTGATGTAGAGTTGATGGGACAACATCCATATCATGGATCCAAGGTCTCCCCATGATCATATTGTAAGCCATTTCCATATCTACTACCTGAAATTTAGTTTCTTTAACAACACCTGCAGCAAAAGTTGTTAGAATTACCTCTCCTTTTGTTACCACACTTGAATTGTCGAACCCGGATAGGGTATGCGCCTTAGGTATCATTTTGTCTTCAGCTTGCATTTCACGTAATACCCTTAATAGTATAATATTCACGGAACTTCCTGGATCAATCAAAACTCGTTTTACATTAGTATCATATACAAGTAAAGATATTACCAGTGCGTCGTTATGTGGGGTCATTACTCCTTCGGTATCTGCATCATCGAAAGAAATACTTTAGTCTTCTAAAACCTGTCGTACCCGTTTATCGTGTGTTATCGTTACTTTAGAAACGTTGTTGGTAGCCGTATATGTTACACCGTGAATATCTTCTCCCCCACTTATAACATTCACGGTTCTCTTGGGTGAAGGGGGCTTTGGTGGCTCTTGCCTATTTTTCATATAGGCTTGCTTACCTTTCTCACTAAATAACTCAGTGAGATACCCTTGTTTCAATAGATGATCCACTTCACTTTGTAAGAATCTACATTCTGAAGTTTTGTGCCCGTGATCATTGTGGAATTCGCACCAATGGTCTGGATTGCGTCTATTTGGATTTGACCGCATCTTTTTTGGACATCGTACGTTATCTCCCATGCTCCTCAAAACAGCTACGAGCTTGGAGGTAGTGACATTAAAGTTATATCCGCCGAACCTTGCCTTTAAACTTCTGTCATCATCTCGTGACTCTTGTTTGTTTTGGTCATTTCTGAACCTTGATGAAGAACCAGATTCCCTGTTCCTCGATTTTTGATCATATCGTTGACTATCCTGCTTTGACCGTGAGTCTTTCCCTGCAGGTTCCATATATGGATCGTACCTGTTTTTCCTGATCTTTTTTCTGTTTCTGATCTCTTGGATTTGCTCCTTTCTTCATGATGAAACTGAGGTACGGTATCTTCCTCAATTCGCAATTTCGTACTATACCTGTTATAAACGTCATTCCACGTGGTTGCAGGGAACTCTCGAAGGCTTTCTTTAAGTCTTCTCGTGGCTTCTGAGCTTTTGTCATTTAAGTTTCTTGCAAAAGCTATTGCAGCCCAGCTATCAGGTACACGAGGTAAGGTCATTCTTTTACGTTGGAATCTATCAACAAAATCTCTGAGCAACTCGGAGTCCCCTTGCTTGATTTTGAAAATATCCTCCATTCTTTTCTCAACTTTTTGAGCTCCCGAGTGTGCTTTAATAAAAGAATCTGCAAGCTCAGCAAAAGAATTAATAGAATTTTTGGGTAAAAGAGAATACCAGGTTAATGCACCCTTGGTGAGTGTTTCTCCAAATTTCTTGACCAGTACTGATTCAATTTCTTGTTTGGTCAAGTCATTGCCTTTCACGCCTGTTGTAAATGCAGTTACGTGATCACGTGGGTCTGTTGTGCCATCATATTTCGAGACGTCAGGCATTTTGAACTTTTTAGGGATTGGAAAGGGAGCAGCACTTGGTTTCCAAGGTTGTTGTGAGTATTTATCCACATCTACTCCTTTGATTACAGGGGGAACTCCAGGGATTTGCTCGATGCGCTCATTCTGTTCCTTAAGCTGTTTCTGCAAAGTTAGTACTAAATTTTGTAAATGAGAATTATTTGAATTACCTGGTTCTCCTTCCTATGGTTCATTGGGGGTTCCTCCATTTCCAGAATTAACAAGGCCAGAACGAGGATTCTCCAATATATTATTATTAGGCGTAGGTGTGAGTGGTGCAACAGGTAATCGACTAACTAGAGTNATCAACACGAGATTCAGGAGCAGGAGTGCCTTCACGAGATTGACGTGGTGAATTTTGAGGTGAGGGAACCACGTCAATGTTCTGTAAATCTCCTTGATTTTGATGGATTTGATTTTCATGGTTTCCCAAGGTGTTTTCACTGTTATTGTTGTTTGACATGATGATAACAACGGCTGTAATGTAGCTTAAAAGAGAAGATTATCAGATTTCCGGTAACGGAACCAATTTGTTTAACCAAAAATCTGAGTCTTTGATCAAAACTAGAAATAAAGAGAAATTCGGGTTACTAATAATTTGGAGACGAAAATAATAGAAGATTTCTGAGAATAATAAAGTAATAAGTAGTTTTGTATTTCAGTGTAATCTCAATAATATTTCGTGTCCTTACAGATGTTGAGTCCTTCTCCTTTTATAGTTGATTCTAGGAGAAGATGTAATGCCTTTGTCTTAATGAAGCAATTATGAGCAATAAATGACATTTAAAAGAAACGTTACACAATTATTTCTATTTAATTCAGATTCTCTAACGTATTTGATATTTAATGATATATTTAGACTCTTTTACGTCATCAGATTCGTATCTTCAACTTCTTCCGATCTTTGATCTTTAAATGACTCGAATAGGTACGAGACTCGTACCTATTTTAGTAACGGTCCACACCTATGTTGCTTTCTTGTCCCCATATCTGTTGTCGCCCGTGCCTCTTGGCTATTTATTGCGTTTTGACCTTTTGACCAATCCACGTGTCATGACACGTCATCTTCAATATTTAGACTCAGTTTTTTCCCAATACACAGTGAAACTCAAAAAACGAAATGAAAATTTTATATTTACGGGATTTTCAAATCGGAATGAGCAATAGAAATTTGTTTTATTTAAAAGGAGATTTATTTATGTTTGACTCAAAAGATATTGAATCCTTTTTGGTTAAATTAATTTAAGAAGATAAAATGGTAAATCTCAGTCAAGCATAATAAACTCCATAATGAGAGACATGAAGGATGAACAAGATAATTAGAATCTATTGATCTCCTGGAACAGAAGGATTAAGTGTTAAAAAAAATGATCACCACAATGTCGAGTGAATATTACAAAGGAAGTTCTTAGTCGAAAAAGTTAAAAGTTTCTGCCTTACAAGGTTCCTTCCTTCATATATATATATATAAGGGCAACCTCCTTCTGAACCCTAGGAGACATACCATAGAGAATATTCGAAAGTATATTCCTAATGTACCCTATTAGGCCTACACTACTATAAAAGTCATACGTCCTTCATCCGTTGTCGGTCGTCGTCCTCCACATGACGTCATGCTGTGAAGACCTCATCTTTTGTCATATTGACAGTAGTCGTGGTCGATCAAATTTGGACCCATACAGATTGGACTCCATAAAACCCACAACCTCCCAGAAAGTTAAAGATAATTTATGTGTACTACAAGAAGTTTGATTTCTGACGACCATTTCTTAACGAAGGGACATAAAACCGGTCATTATAAGTGTATTTGTAGCAACCAAATTTTTTTCCAATCGTTAAAAATTAATTTTAGCTCAATAATAACGAGGGGATAATATTCGGCTGTCAAAATATAACTAAGCCGGTCGTTATAATTATTAATTAATGAAAAAGTGACGCTAACTTTTCCCACTTTTTTTCCCAATTCCGCCAAATCTCCCACCCCCATCCCCCGAAAAAGGAAAAAGCCCCAAGACTTCAGCTTACAGTTCGTATAAACCTAATAAGCCCGAAGACTTCTCTAACAGTTCCTAAACCTTTGTTTTGAACGAATTAGCAGAGAACTGCCACGACAAATTCAAATAATTAGAGTTCGTGAAATTCAGCGAATTAGCCAACGAAGCTACTCGTCACCTCCATTGACAACAGCTGCTCATCTTTGAGGTTCTTCTCATCATGGTAAGGTTCAAAATTTTACCCTTTTCTATGTGAATTGAGTAATAATTTCGCTAGAAAAGGCAACGATATCTGTCTTGAATGGAAATTTTTTGTGAAACTTGTTTCTTATTTTAAACTATACAAATTTGATCAGAGGTATGGGGTATGAGAATTGGCTAAAGTTATTTGGTAGTATGTCTCTGTTTTCAATCTCAATTGTGTAACAGTAGCTAAAAAACCTACTGGGTTTTCAACTACATCAACAAGTGCAACAGTAGATTTAGGAGTCCCAACAGTAGGTCGATCACCAGTTGCATTCAATGCAACATTAGCCTCCAACTTCGAACCTATAGTAGCTGCTTCAGTTCCACTTTTTCGACTGCCACTGCTACATGATTCTTAGTATTGTTTCCTCGATCACGCCCTGTAACAGCTACACTACTCAAAGCATCTACATCTTCAAGACCTTGCCCTTCATCATGCACAGCAGTAGGTTTAATAACTGTTGATTTTTCAACCATCTCAAGTGCAGCAGTATTAGCTTGATTTGCCCAGATTTCACTGAAGCCTTGTACTCCTGCTTAGCAGATTCTAGCGTCCCAGTTTCCTGCATAAGAGACGTTTTTACACCAGCAGTGGCATGATCAGCTATAGGTTTTTGTTGTTGATTACCATATGTAAGTACTGCCTTAACACCTTTAGGTGCTGCACTATCCAAAGCAACAACACCTTCAACATCTTGCCCCTCATCATGCACACCAGTAGCTTTTAAAACTGCTGGTTTTTCAGCTATTTCAATTGCACCAGTAGGTCGATCACACAGCCCAGTTTTCTTCTCCTGCACAACTATTTTTTGATGATTATTACTCTGCTCCTGCCTAGTATTAATGTGACCATCAACTGTAGTAGCAACCTTAGCTTGAACACGATCAACACCAGGGCCCTTAGCAATTTGCTTTTCCCCCTCCAACTCCTGAGAAACATTCTTCACAGTTGTAGCTTCAGAACCTGCTGGTTTTTCAGCACTTACAGCAGTCACTACACCTCGATTAGTAATCGTTTGAACCTCAGGAGCATTCAGTGCAATATTATGATTTTGTATAGCAGAACCAACAACCTGTTAAATCCTCGCTAAAGTAGTAGCAGCTGGAATGTCACAAGGGAGTTTAGAAACAGGTTTCTGTTGATCCCTACTCAGTTGCCCAATTTCTATAGCATCAACCTTACCACTCCTACCTCCTTGATCAACCAGAGTAACCTCTTGTTGTTCATTGCCATTTGTATCTCGAATCAAAGCAGTATCAAGACTGATGAGATTAAAAGAAGGTACTGCTAAATTGGTCTTTTGATCCTNTTATGCGGAAAAGAAAAACATGAACCAAACATTGTATTAGCAATGCTACATTTTATGTGAAAAATAGAAAAAACAATCAAACATTGTATAACTTATGCTAGCTTCTATGTGGAGATTATTCTTTCCCCTTCTTTTAACCAAGCAATGTATAAAGTTATCCGGATAACTCCTCTCTAACCGGCTACCAAACGACCCCTGAATGGATGCAATGGATTCATAATGTCATTCTGGCTAGTTTGTTATTAAGGTATAGTTGAATGAAGAGGAATTGGCAGTTAGAATTGAAATGGTCCTTTTTAGCAATAAGGAAATCAATCTATGAAATGTTGTGGTTTCCAACATAGTAAACATTTAATCTTTAGTTAATTTAGGAGTTCTTGAATTTTTAGTATAATTTAGCTTAAAGTCCTTTGTCCATTTAATTGTTTGTCTAACTCTCCTATTCAGATGTTAAAACTTAGAATACTGTTTATGCAGGTCAGTCGCCTATTATACTTGATTGTTCACAGCATTTACAGTCACAAGGAGGTTTTCTTGCGAGAGCTTGTGAGGTGAGGACATCTCTCTCCTTTTCTTTTCCCAAGTGGCAAACGTCTGAATACTACTCCATTGTTTTCTTGATTACATCAATAATTGTTCATTGTGTGAAGTTACTGGTTGTAGTTGGCATAGACATCATGATCCATGTTTATGTCAAAAACCATTTATGTGTCATAGATTATGTGTCTCATTTTCTTACTTGCCATTGATATTTATGTGAACATGTTTGACTGGATACAGAGTTTAAGAAAAATGAAGACTTTTTGAATTCGTGCTCCTAAGAAAGTCAAAAAAGGGTCCAGAATATTTGTGTGGTTATAAAATCTTTCTCATTAAGCGTAGAATTGAAAGTTTAAACTAAATTTTTTTCAAATTTAGAAAGGGGTCATTCTTTGGAACAGACCAAAAAGGAAAAGAACTCATGAAGGTTTGGATATTTATCAACTCTTTTATTTAATTAGGCAACTCACTTGTGATGATGGAAGTTTCGTATTGGATTCCATTTGATTTCATAGTTCAGCAAAAGATTCTAAAACTATACCAGTAGATTTTCTCTTAACTGATTATATGTTCTTATATGATGAATATAACTTGCTAAATATTTGTTTATCTTCAGGTTTCTATACGTCATGTTTTTGTAAATTATCTTTATTATTGTTGTTTATGGCCATGTAACTTCCTAACTTCTTTCAAAGACCTTCGTATGTTCATATATGATAATATTGACATTATAGACATCTGTCACTCAATTTCTTTTTGTGCTAGGTTGACATGAATCCATCAAAATATCATAAGTCTAAAATGGAATCAAGTTCGAAGATTGTTAAGCATATGTACGTTCCACCTGGTACCTTAGCAAGGGGGCGAAGACAGAGCTTTAGAGCATTGGGTTCTGTAAGAGTAAATGCTGAACAACGAGGTTAGATTGGCAAAAGTAAAGCTTTTAATGTATTAGCTTCTGATCTGAATAACCTAACTCATAATGATAGTCTTGCACCTTTTGGTTTTGATCAAATATTTGAAGGTGATACTCTTTTTTCTCATGAAGAAGAAGAGATGTGGGACACTCGGAGAAGTGAAATAAGTATTTTATTATTTCAAGCTATAAGATATTTTCGTTGTTATTGTATAAGAACTATTTTTATATTTGACATAAATTGAAATTTGCAGGGCTTTTTGAATTTGAAAAGGTAAAAAAACTGAGAGGAACAAATTGGTGTAAAAATGTTGCAGAACTCAAAGTTGGAGAAAATGTTGCGCCTCCTAGTTTTGATCAAACATTTGAAGGTGATACTCTTTTTCCTCATGAAGAAGAAGAGATGCAGGGCACTCAGAGAAGTGAAATAAGTATTTTATTATCTCAAGCTATAAGACTTTTTCGTTGTTATTGTATAAGAACTATTTTTATATTTGACTTAAATTGGAATTTGCATGGCTTTGTTGTTACGCCTCGCAGTATTACGTCGATGTTATGCTCTACAGTAATATATTACGATGATGTTACCATCTGCAGTAGTATATTACGATGATACTACATCCTGCAGTATTACACTACGGTGATGTTACGCTTCACAATATTAAGTTACGACAGTGTTGCACCTAGCAGTATTACATTACATTACGGTGATGTTACGCTTCACAGTATTAAGTTACGACAGTGTTGCACCTAGCAGTATTACATTACATTACGGTGATGTTACGCTTCACAGTATTAAGTTACGACAGTGTTGCACCTAGCAGTATTACATTACGGTGATGTTCCGCTTTGTAGTATTAAGTTATGACAGTGTTGCACCTAGCAGTATTACATTACAGTAATGTTATGCTTTGCAGTATTAAGTTACGACGATATTGCACTTTGTAGTATTGTACGTTAGATTTGTTGTAAGGTAATTGACATCAATCCAAGTAAAAGATTATTTGGAGATTATAAGGATTATGCTATTTCACAAGTGATGAATAAATTCGTAAAAGTGAAAGGGGAAGCAAGTCAAAGAAAATAATTTTTTCGTCCAAGTTTGGCATATTGGGGTAAAATACGGCCCGAGTTAAAATACCCGATATTTATGGACTAGTGACATGCAAGGTACTACATGCCTATGCTAGAAAGGTGTATAAGGTATGTGAAAAGTGAGTAATATTTTAAGTAAGTGGAAATAATTCTTAATTTTTCGGGTAATTGGTTAAATACCGGGTAGCGGAATATTACCTAGTTAATTAATTAATTATTTGTTGGATAAGATTAAAAACACCCCAACCCACCCTATGTGGCAGCAAGCCCACTAAGCAATTATGTGACTCATGGTCACATTAGAAAGGTGGCATCTTGACAATTCAATTGCAAGACACCTAATACCTTAACACTTTTAAAACCAAATCATTTTACAATTCTTGAAAAGTGCCAAGCGTGAGTTATGCTCCAAAAATCATTAAAGACATTCTTCAAGTCTTTCAAACAAGACTTTTAAAAGTCATTTTCACTCTTTCAAAACCAAGAACGTGAGCTTCTGAGAATTGAAGAATGCAACAACATGGTTCTATAATTTCAACAATTATAGAACGTTAATTTCCCAATACAATTTTTAGAATTTTAGCAACGGAGGAATTTTGCGGTTTTAACGGAGTACGGTGTAACTTTTTCCAAGGATATCATACGGATTTTTTCTATTCCGGATATGTTAAGGCTAAACTCTTATTTCATTTTGCATGATCTTGTCATTACACGATTTTGTTAATGAGCCATAAAGAAAAATTCATATCCCCGAATTTACGTATATTTTGTTAGTTTTGCAAATTGCGTATATTTTCCTAGTTTTGTAAGTTATANCGTGACAAAAGTGGTATCAGAGCAGTTCTGTCCTAGGGAGTCTACAAGACGTGTCTAGTAGAGTTTTGTTTATGGGTATGTCGCGCACCACACTTATAAGCAGGAGGCTACAGGGCATTTAGGATTGTCACTCTTTCTTCTTACTCTAGATCGTGTGGTAGAGCTCATTTATAAGAATTCAAATTCCGAGATTCTTTTTTTTTATTCGTAATAAGACGATACCTACATCCGGAAAGAAGGTTAGAAAGAGAGATAGTTGTGCAAGAGCTGAGTGAGAGGAATTGGATTTTTGTATGATGCTTACGATAAGTAAATGTGAGGTCTTTAGCAGATCATGGGTATATTGAAAGGTGTAAGCTTCCTGATAAGAAGCCTTAGGGCAAGAATGTCTATCCATCTTTATGGTGAAAGACAATGAGAGATTAAAAAGATAAATACAAGTTTCAACAAGCAGAAGAAGCAAGATGAAGAAGGGTACGAGGTGCCTAGTTAATGAAAGTTAACAGCGTTTATAATTGAGGCAGAGGAACATAAGATTTTTGAGTTATATTCAATAGTAACAGAGGTATATACAATTGGTCGCACCCATTCCAAAGATGCCCTATGGGGATTAATAGAAGTAGTATAAGAAGATACGATAGATGAATTGTTTGCGTCAGTTGACATTTCCGAAGGATATTGCAAATATGCTAATAGATCTCTTTATGAGACACCTAGATGGTGCACTCTAAAATAGTACAGTTAGATATGAGTACTACAAAGATAGGCACTGGAAGCCTTAAAGGGATAAATATTACCTTAGTATGACTCCCATCCCTAGTAGAACGAGAATGCTTGGCAACCCGAAAAGCCAATGGATGAAGCAAGGGTAGCTAAAAACAAAAGAATATCATGTTGAAGTTTTCAAAAGAAAGTGATCGCAGAAATATTAGCAGGGTAATGAGAAGAGAGATACGGAAGAATTATGAGTAAGATGCAATACATGGATGACAACGGTAGAGTGTTATAGAACCTATAGTCAAATGAAGAAAGAGACGAAAGGTGATAGGCCTTAAGACAATAAAAGAGTATAGGCCATACAGTCATATCCTCATTTCGAGAAATAAGTTCGCAACTCTAGCGTGATTATCAAGAGGAAAAGTTAGAACCCAGAGTAATAGAACCAGTATGGATTGGTGAACAAGATAAACAAAACATAAATTAGGGACTAAGTGACTGATGATAGTCGCCATCATAAGAATGTCAGATTTTGTTCCGCCAATAATAGAATGGACGACAAAAGAAGATTCATGAGAAATTTAGAGAACGGTCATTAACGAAGGCACTTCCCTACAACAAGCAATGTGAGCAAAGTTCAGCTTAAGGGACTGTATGTGCTAGCTATACTAGGTTTCACCCTCGTGAGTAAGGAATTTTGCTATCTTTGGTATGGAAGGATTACCGCAAGGCGAGTAAGAGTCATTGATGATGTGAAAGGATGCCAAAGATGAAAAGGTGAAACATCTATAGGCAGGTCGTCGTAGCTCCAACTCTTAGTACTCTCCTAAAGGGGGGGAATATGGAATGATAAAAGGAAGAATGCGATAAAAATGAGAAAGGGATGAGATTGCACTAATCCAAATGCTACAGATATGTTACGATTCCAGAATATTATGCAAACGCGACGTCAAGGAGAAGAAGTAAGGGTTCCTGCCCGAGATGTTATTGATAATTAAGGAGCCAGTGCGAGATGTAAGTTAAGACCAAGAAAATAACCCAAGAAAGATTTCGCGGAATATTGACATGAGGATGGGCCAACGAGTAGTTAGTAGTTAATTCAGAAAGAGCCTAGCTATGGCTAGTCAAGAGGATACAGAACAAGACAGCAGGTCGTGCAAGATAAAGATAGTAAAACCCAATATAGTGAATTTAGCCCCACAATTATGGCATTGTAATACTTGAGAAATATTCAAATAGGAGTTGGGGTAGTGAAAGGTACCGTATGAGTGTTACAGAAATAAAAGATAGTTCCACTGGGAAGACAGTCAAAACTTCAATTCAGAAGTAGCCGTACGAGCAGATGAGTGTGGAGGTAAGTAACTAAGGATAATTACAAGTGAGCACGAACATAAAATATTCTATCGGGAATATGATATAATAAGCTCGTATCTTTACAAGAGTCAGAGGATCCTCCCTAAGTACAACAGTGAAGGACTAGCTGAGGAAATGAGGAAGAAGGCTTCAACCTAAGCACAACGACCTAAAGAGAAAATGATCGTGTAACAACAGTCTCGCAACAACATTGTAAGCACTCCAAAGGAAAGTGGCACCTACCGTGGATAATGAACGGGAAGTAAAGTTAAAAGTAATATTCGAGATCATATGAGTTATATGAAAACTCTGGCATGTGT